TTATGGTTTATGCCTTTATTTTCTTAGAGGACGATTAGGTTCTAGCAGGATGTCAACCTGTATGTTTTCCCATTCAGGCTACCATTTCAGTTCATATACCTTTTACAAACTTGGGTCCATTTTGGTTTCACTTTATTGACCATGATTGAACTCAGTAGAATAGGTTCAAAGCCCTGTCCAGAGCACAGTAGAATTTAGGTGGGGCAATGTATTGATGCCAACTTCTTAAGATGCACAGCAAGGCAGGGAAGTGTCGAGAATCACCCAGATGTAGGACTAACAGAGAAGAGACAGTGCATGAGCAAACTACCCACCATCTCCTTCACCTATTTTAAAAATGTTTGCTTAGGTAGGAATTATTCTAGGGAATTAGAGCAGAGGGGATCACAAGAAGGAAAAGATGTCATTATTCATGTTGCTTTAATTCTACTTGGGGAAGATAGACCATAAAGGAGTAAGCAAGCACAGCAATTTCAGATGATGATATGTGCTAAGAAGAAGGATCGTGATATAGACTCAGAGAGATCAGTACATCAGATGAGGGTAATCAGAGAAGTAATCTCTGGAGAGATGGCAGTAGAGCTTAAAATGAATAAGAAGAAACCAACCTTTCTATACGCCAGAAGAGTGTTGAACAAGAGAGATCAGCAGGGGCAGAGTGTGAACACACTGAGGTGAAAACCAGTTTGGTTCATGTAAGGGAGAGACAGAAGGCCAGTGTGCCTGGAGCAGAGGGAAAGGCAGGATGAGGGGAGGTGATGTAGCAACTAGATCATAAAGGACTTTGTGGGTCAGAAAGGAATTGGCCTTTTTCTATTGCAATATAAAGGTCTTGGCTGGGGGTGGGATATTGGTGTGTTAAGACAAAGCCTAATTTGCATTTATAAAATATAACTTCCATTAATTTTGTGGAAAATAAATTGTAGAGGGGCAACAACCTGGGTGAAGATAGGCCCCCAAATTGCCCATCCATAGGCAGCTGACAGCGCAGGAAGGCTTAAAACTAAGGGCTTTGAAATTTGAACTAGAGGATAAGATTATTAATTAGCCCATTGGTAGCATGAGAATAGATCAAAGAGTTGGAGAAGAGCAGATACAATGAGAAATGAGAGTAGTTTATCCTCGAGGGGCCTAGGTTCCTTAATAGCTATTGATATACATTACTCTCCATCCTTTCTTTTAATTAAGATGGTCTGAGTTTCTGTTTCTCTCTTAATGAAAGATCTAACGAACACACTGGTATCCTCAAGTTTTCATTCTTATACATTTTCTATTTTCCTTCATATTAGTCAGGAATAACAAAGATATGCTTTGGTAACAAAACCATTCAATCCCAGTGGCTTAAAATAACCAAGATTCATCTTACTAATATAAAATGTCCATCATGAGGTGGCTAGGGATTCCATTCTACATCATCTTTCCTCCAAGACTAAAATGCTTAAGAGCATCTACTCTCTGGAATATTGCTGATTACCATGGCAGAGGGAAGAAGAGTTCTGGAAGGTCTTGCATCAGCAATTAAATGCTATGTTCACAATTCATTGGTAGAATGCACCATGTGAACCACTCCAACCACAAAGGGGTCAAGAAGAGAAATTCTGCTATGAACCCCAAATAGAATAGTAAATATTTGGCATGCCTACCACCATTTATTCATTTGTTTAAATGATGCCTATACACCAATGTCTTTCAAATAAAAATTTCTAGGGGAGATAGTCCATTGAAATTCTATATTTTCAACCACCTACTGGAATGCGCTAAGGAGCTCTGGCAGCATAGTGGGTTATACATTGTGTTGAGACAATGGTTAGAGCAGGTGCTCCATGGAAGAAAGATGAGGCTCTCTGCTCCCGTAAAGATTTATAGCCTCGGAAACCCTATTCAGGGTTGCTATAAGTCGGATTTGACTCCAGGTACACTGAATGCTCTCCTACTGAATGCTCTACTGGTGTAGTGGGTTATATGTTGGACTGTTAACCACAAGGTCAGCAGTTTGAATCCACCAGCTGCTCCTCTGGAGAAAAATGAGGCCTTCAACTCCCATAAAAATTTAAAGCTTTGGAAACCCTATATAGGGTTGCTGTGAGTTGGAACCAACTCAACGACACACAACTAACCAACTGAAATGCCAAGGAGGCTGGTACAAATGGTTAAGTGTTCTACCACTTTCCAAAAGGTTGGTAGGTTGAACCCATCCAGAAGAACTTCAGAAGACAAACCTGGTTATCTGCTTCTGAGAGGTGACAACCTTGAAAACCCTCTGGCTTTCTAATCTCATACATGGATTACCATGAGTCAGAATGGTATCCAAGGCAACTAACAACTAGAATGGCATACCTGAAGGTATCAGATATTTCAAGCCATAGGTACCAATACTGTACCCATTAGCTTTTCCACAGACTTGCTGTATGTTCTGATTTGGTCAATGGCAGCTTTCCATTCACTGCCTTATTAGATTTTATCCTTGGCCTATTCTCCCTCTCTTCCAAAATCTAATCATTCATCAAGTCTTGGAAGTAGTGGCTTCCCTGGAATTATCTCAATCCTGTTAACTCTACAACCATTTCTTTAATTCAGCCCCTTCATGGATTCTTACCCAGACAATTGTATTAGCCTCTTGTCTGGTCTTCCTGCCTTCATGTCTTTCCTCATAAATTGCATTTATGAATTCAATAAACATTTAAAAAGCGCTTTCTGCTTCTTATATTAAAAAAGTCTTGGACTCAAGGTGAATAAAAACTACAAAGGGGGGTGGACAGTGATGTAAACAAAAAAGGAAACTCTAATGGGACAAATGGAGTCCTGGTGTGATGCTGTGGGCTAATGCGTCAGACTGCAAAATCATTTGAACTGCAGGGTTGGTGGTTCAAGCTCACCAGCTGCTCCTTGGAAACCCTATACAGAGTCCCTATGGGTCAGAATTGACTTGATGGCACTTAACAACAACAACAACAATGAGACAAAAGTGATAATAATTGTGTAGTTGGAGGAATGGTTTTTGTTGTTAAGTGCCATGGAGTCAGTTGTGTAAGGAGAGTACCAAATTTGATGTGGTGGCGATTGGACAGTAATGTGAGAAACTTTTACAAAAGAAACAAAACATCAGTGAAATGCTGAGGGAGCAAGAGGCACTTGAACCCTATAGACACAGTAAATAGAGTTGGGGAAAGGGGTAAAAGAAGCGCATGTGCTTGGTACCTTTGAGGGGCTACAGAACTCAGAAACCCAAGGCAGATTGAGGGCAATGGAATGAAGAAACAAGCAGAAGCCTTATCATTAAGGACCCAAAGTATCCTAGTCAGTTATCCACAGAGGTAAGAAACTCTTACATGAAGAAAGTTTTAATCATGGATACTATCCGAAAGCTAACATTTATTGAACATATAAGATTCCAGATATCTTGCTAAGAACTTTTTCTATTTTATTTAATTCTCACAACAGTTTTATGAGGTAAAGTAATACTGCTGTAGCACTATAGGATAAGCAATGGACTGCTAACCGAAAGGTTGGGGATTCAAACCCACCAGCTACTCCTTGGAAGCCCTATTTGTTGTTAAATGTCAGGGAGTCGGTTCAGATTCATCGGGACCCTATATGGGATTTCCAAGAAGTGGCCAGTTAGTTTGACCTGCCTACCTTCCTGTTCAAGGAGCTCTGGTAGAGTAGTGGTTATGAGTCAGGCTGCTAACCTCATGGTCAGCAGTTCGAAACTACCAGCCTTTCCATGGGAGAAACATGAGGCTTTCTGCTTCCATACAGATTTACAACCTGGGAAACCCTATGCAGGGTTGCTATAAGTGGGAACTGAGTCCACTGCATACTACACCACCACCTTGAGGTTCAGACTGACCTTGAGGTCCAGTGCTTTTTATCCTTCAACGTCACACCAGGACTCCTATACAGGGTCGGGTCGTAATCAGTCAGAACCAACTGGAGGGCACTTAACAACCGGAAGAACTCTAATAGGATGTGACAATAGGAAGTGGTTCAAGGGAACCGTGGGCAAAGAGGCACAGGTAGCATATGAGGAACAGTGGGATCAAAGTTGTGGGTTTGAATGTGAGGATTAAGAGAACTCTAAAACCGAGGGTTCTGGGATAGCACTAACCTTAAATGGGTTAAAAGTGAGAAAAAGAAAGATCAAACGAGACTAAGCAACAGTCATTTGGTAGCAGGAGCCTTTAAAAAATAGCCTTCTGTCAATCTTTCTGAGAACCTCTTGTCTAAAGCCTGGGGTTATAAAGGGTATTTTGTCTTTATAATTGTTTTTTCTTTATACTTAATTTTTAAAGGATCAATTCCTTATACTCAATTTCTCCAGTTCTTAGGGATCAATTCATCTCCTGAAACCCACAAGGGGTCACTAAGTGGGGAAGCAAATCAAAGGATGGGAGGACATGGAACAATTTGGCTTCAGAGCTGACCAAGAACTCTTCTCCCCGGGTCCGAAAGGGCGCTGTGGATGAGTGCCATTGAGAGTGGCCCGCACTTGTCAGCGGTAACTGAAAAGGACCAAAGGGTACTGAAAGTCTAAATTGTATCTGAGCACGGTCCCTTCAGTTTGTCAAACAAGCATGCGCACCGAAGTGTAGGCACTTGCTCATCCTCCAGGGAGGGTCAAGAGCACGCCAGGGCCCGCCTCTCCGGAACCCACAAACATCTTCAGCTCCTTCCTCTGGTCTCGGAGATTTCCCACAGCAGTGCCCTAGTCCCACCCGCCGTCAGACCAAACTCTGCGTCACGGGGGCGGGGCCAGAACGCCGCTCGTGGGCTGCCCCGCCCCCTCCGGCTGAAAAGGGGTGGCTCGGCCCTTACGGGGGTCTGGAGTTTTCTCAGTCGTTCTGTCCCATCACTGACTCCTGACCCTTGTGCAGGGCCTTCTCCGCCCCCAGGGCGGACGCTGGGACTGTGGCGAGCGTGTGGGACGCCATGAAGGGCTGCCGCCTGTCGGACGCCGCGGCGGAGGAACTGGAGGGCTGAAGGCTGCGTGGGGCTGAAGCATGAGGAGCCCTGGCGGGAGCCAGCTCCAAACGCTGCCCCGGCTCCTGCTTCACGCTTCTCTACCCGGCCGCGGCGAACTGCCATCCCGCTGGGCCCTGCCAGGGACTGCCGGCGGGGACGTGCGGGCGGACCGCCTCCTCCGTGGGGGCGGGGCGAGCGCGGCGGCGGCGGCAGCTGCCGCCTCGGGCGCCCTGCTCGGCGTCTATCTGGAGCGCCACAGTCCGCCCGCCACCTCGGAGCTGCCGGCGCCGAGCGGGGCCTTCCCTGGCGGCCCCGCGAGCGGCGGCGGCGTGGTGGTCGGCGTGGCAGAGGTGAGGAACTGGCGTTGCTGCTGCCTCGGCAGCACCTGTTGGTGCCGGAGCCTCGTGCTGGTCTGCGTGCTGGCCGCCCTGTGCTTCGCTTCCCTGGCCCTGGTCCGCCGCTACCTGCAGCACCTTCTGCTCTGGGTGGAGACCCTCGACTCGCTGCTGGGGGTACTGCTCTTCGTCGTGGGCTTCATCTTGGTCTCCTTCCCCTGCGGCTGGGGCTACATCGTGCTCAACGTGGCCGCCGGCTACCTGTACGGCTTCGTGCTTGGCATGGGACTGATGGTGGTGGGCGTTCTTATCGGCACCTTTATCGCCCATGTGGTCTGCAAGCGACTGCTCACCGCCTGGGTGGCCGCCAGGATCCAGAGCAGCGAGAAACTGAGCGCCGTTATTCGTGTCGTGGAGGGAGGAAGCGGCCTGAAAGTGGTCGCGCTGGCCAGACTGACCCCTATACCTTTTGGGCTTCAGAATGCAGTGTTTTCGGTAAGTGGTGTCCCGTTGGTCCATCGTTCTACCTTGCGTGGAGCAAACTTGTGACTGGCTTAGCTGGGCGCTAAAAGGGACATTTACAATAGGAGTTAACCTTGGTTTTCATCTCCTGGAGAAATCTACCACAAACAAGTACAGCAAATATAAAGCCGGGGCCTCAGTAGGAGACATGGTAGAGAACGTCTCCTTTTGAAAGAGATGATGGGAGTTTGATTAAAAATGGAGCATCTTTTAAACGCAGCAAAAGGACTGAGAGAGCTGAATGGGTCCATTTTAGCATTTGTCAAAATGTTAAGCAATATTGGCAAAAGTCAGAGAACAACAGCTTTGCATTCCTGGTTTCCCTTCTCTTGCACAAATGCATCCAGGGTTTTGAACCAAAGATTTACCGATATGGTGCTGAAGGCCGCGTTTGGGTCAACAGTGGAGAGGGTAGCCATAGACTAAGTTCGTATGAACCACAAGGTCAGTGGTTCAAGCTCACCAAGTCACTTCTTGGAAACCCTATACAGGGTCGCTACGGGTCGGAACTGACTCAAGGGCACTTAACAACAGTCGCAAAATTTGTTACGGAGTTCTGGTGTGGCGCTGTGCGTTAATGCCCTGGACTGTAAAATCTGAACCACACGGTCGGCGGTTCAAGCTCATCAGCCACTCCTCAGAAACCCTATACAGAGTCACTATGGGTTGGCACCGACTGGACGGTGTTTAACAACAACAGAAAGATTTGTTATAGGCTTTTTCTTCAAATATTTGCTTTAATATGCCAAAGAAAAAAAAAACTCTCCTGTTTGTCTTTCACCGGAGGAACTTTATTTTGAAATTGTTAAATGCCATCGATTGGTTATAACTCATAGCAACCCATTGCAGGATTTTCTAGGATATAAATCTTTGTGAGAGCAGAAAACCTCATCTTTCTCTCCCAGTGGGCTTGTGGACTTGAACTGCCAACCTGTGGTTAGCAGTCCAATGCTTATCCTACAGAGAAATGGTGACTAAAACAAAAATAGGACATGTAACCTTTTTTACCACTGAGAGTTTATTTTCGTGTTCATTGTTGTCCTTAGGTTCTGAATCCTACTTATTGGGAGCAGGGTTTCCCATGAGCAGCTGGTAGGTTTGAACTGCCAACCTTGTGGTTTGCAGTCTGGTGCTGATCCTACAGCTCCCCACCAGGATTCCTAAAATCTTGAATTGTTTCTTCTTGCAAAGGAAGCTTGTTCATACATATGTTCTTTTCCACTCTCGGATTGATGTGTTCTGTTTGTTCTACTTGATTTTCTGTAGCCCTGCAAATGATATAGGAATGAAATGCTGCCAGTAAGGAGAACATGCAATTAGAAGAAAGGAATCCAAATGTGATTTTGGACCAGATCACTGGCTAGCCTTGGCCTTGCATTCCTGTTTTCAGTGATGAGTGGGTTGAACTAGATTACTTAGTTTCCAGAATTCAGCGATTCTAAACTACAGAGAGAGCTAATAGAGTGATTCCCAGGAGCTCAGCCTTTCACCAAGATTTCAAGAAAACTGAATATCTATGAAAATCTATGCATTTTATGATTAGCAATTCTGACACATTATTTTGTATCAACATAGTCTTCTGAAGCTTTCTCTCGCTCTCTTTTTTTAATTAAGAATAATTTTAATCAGTTCCCTCTTTGTGATAACATTAAGATTTTTCTCTTTTCTTTTCAAATAATCTTTCGCAAATCTCCTGTTGATTTTACCCAACAACAGCAATGGCTATATAATGATGTCTAATGGAGGCAGTAGGAAGGTGCTCTGTAGAGATAAAGTTTTGTGTCTACTATAATTTGATATAGTCTCAGTTTTTGCCTTTTTTCCATCCTCTTATAGTAAGAAATATAAACATGATCTTTGCCCCAACCTTAGGTAATAATAGATCAAGTGGCCTAAGACTTTGGAAGGGGATTGGGACTAAAGAACTTGCATTCGTTTCTTTCTGTTTGTTTTGTCCTCCAGTACAGCTGTGTTCTTGTGCCTTTCTCCACCTAGGATGTGCATATTATGCATATTGTTTTTAATCCTTAAACCAGCCTTGTAGAAGGTGATTTATGCACATTTTGTAGACAGGCAGTGGTGTCTGATGATTAGGAGCCCAGGTCTGGTACTCTGCAGTCCTGCTCTGTCTCTGCCTTAGAATCTAGTTGACCTTTGTCAAGTTGCTTATATGTGTTTCCATTTCTTGTGAAATGGGGAGAGTGGTGGTACCTACTTCATAGTTATTAAAAGGATTGCAGATTATAAATATATGCAACAGAACCTGGTTTAACAAACACTCAAATGTTGATTTTTGTCCTCATTATCCATGGTCACATGGTAGTAAATAAATGGTATTGCTAAACTTTGAACTATGATCTGATGATAGGCAGGGTCTCAACAGTATGGCTCCGTTTCGTCATTGTATATATAGAGCTGCATAGGAGTCCTAGTGTAGATCAGCACTGGACTGCTAACCACAAGGTCAGTGGTTCAAACCCACCAGCCACTATTTGGAAACCCTATATAGGGTCGGAATCGACTTGAAAGCACTTAACAACAACATAGTAATAGCTTTATAATAAGGACTCATTGAATGTTTATTAACTGACATGAATGCAGGCCTTTCTTTTCATACATATTAAACATGTGAATAAAACTTGTACTTTGTACTTGAAAATGCTTTTAGGTAATTATGTCGTTTAATCTGAGCTTGACAAGGGAAACTCTGAATTTGATATTATTGTTAAGTGCTGTCGAGTTGGTTCCAACCCATAGAGACCCTTTATAGGGTTTCCGAGGAGTGGTTGTTGAGCTTGAACCACCTTCCTTGGGGTTCAAACTGTCTTTGCAGTCCAGGGCATTAACCCACAGTGCCACACCAGGACACCTTAACATTAAAGTTGTTGTTATGTGCCGTGGAGTCGGTTCCGACTCATAGCAATTCTTTACAGGGTTTCCAAGGCTGTAAATCTTTATGGGAGCAGAAAGCCTCATCTTTCTTTTTTGGAACAGCTGGTAGTTTGGAACTGCTGACCTGAAGGTTCGCAGCCTGATTCGTAACCACTACGCCAATATTATAGGGTTAAGTAAAAAGGAAAAAAAGAAAAAGGGTCTCTTGGAATTGGTATTATAGACCCAGTGTACTGAAGAAGGAACAGGCTTGTTAGTTTAGGAACTTGTTTATAGAGTCATGCAGCTGCCAAGTGGTGGGGCTGAGGTTTGAACCCAGGCTCAGCTGATCAAGTGCATCTTACTTTAGAATTCTTAGTACTAGCTATCAGCAGGGTGGGTTGTGAAGCCTCTGGATATGGGCTACTACATCTTGTTTATATCTGTAACTCTGAACTGTTAGCTTACAGAAGCAGCCATTTTAAACAAAATGGTTTCTGAATTCTGCTAAGTCACTCACTGTCTTCTAATTGATTCTGATTCATAGTGACCTGATAGTACAGAGGAGAACTGCCCCGTAGGGTCTCCAAGGCTGTAAATATGGATGGACGCAGACTGCCACATCTTTCTCCTACAGAGTAGCCCGTGGGTTCTAACTTTTTGGTTGGCAACTGAGTGCCTTAATCATTGTGCCACCAGGGTGTGCTTGAATACATCGGAGTGAGAAAAAGTTTTTTATAGACAGATGTTAGTTTTAGTCTAACTTTCCCTTGGTCTTTTAGAGCTTCATTCTACTGCTACCCTCTCTGCTGTATACTTCTCTCATTACCCGAAGCTCTCCCCTTTCTAGATAATTCTTGTGTTTTCTTCTTTTCTCTGTATCTTTGAGATTATCCCCATTTTTTTCTTTTTCTTTCTCATTCCACTTAAAATTTTTTATACCTACTCTATTAGCATAGTGGTTATGAATCAGGCTGCGAACCGTAAGGTCAGCAATTCAAAACTACCAGTCGCTTCATGGGAGAAAGATGAGGCTTTCTCCTCCCATCAAGATTTACAGCCTTCGAAACCCTGTACAGGGTCACTATAGGTCGGAATCTACACGACGGCACTTAACAACAATAACAATGATACAAGAAGTATTTGGGGGCTTACCACAAAAAGAAGGGGAAGTACAGTGGTCAGGAGAGGCACAGGTTTGGGTTCAGACAGCCCTTGGTTAGTCCATGGTGTGTGGCTTTCTCCACGCTCCCTTAACCTTTAAAATGGAGGCAAGTTTATGAGTATACGAAGACCTAGTGCAGCAGAAGCATAATGAAGAATTTTGCCTGGCACATAGTCACTTCTCAGTACTTGTTAGTTCTCAGGATTAGTGGTAGTGCTGGAGGTAGTGGTGTTTCTATTTTTAGAGGCAAGAGATGATTATAAAAGATGAATATATGGAAGAAAGCTAGGGACTTTCCACTGCTTTTTATGTATTCTTAACCAAAATTCTTTTTCCATATGTGGCCCCTAAAATATGCTGATACTTCACTTTTGCAACTTTTGAAATAAAAAATTGGAGGGATCTTCAAAAAGCTCATGGGAAAAAAAATCATTTATCTTTTCATTCCATTTATCCATGAATTTTTTTGAAGCCCTCTTGTACTTTATATGGCTCTTAGTCCATAAGTATAGTGTTTCAAGTACATATTAAATTTGTTCCTCTTTAAAAAATACTCTATTTTTGTTGAGAAATAGCTAAGAGTTTTTTGTGTTATTTACTTATTTTTTTAATTCCCAGTGTTCTTAATATAATCTTAGGAGTATTTAGATCTCTAAACTTGTACTTTATGTGTTTCTAAGTACTTGTATTATCTGGATACATACAAAAGATAACCTCTAATGATTCTTATTGTGTCAGGCTCAGTTGCTGCAGTTGTTATTAAGTGCCATCTAGTCATAGCAACCCTGTATGGGGTTTCCTAGAAGAAGCTTGTGAGCTTGATCTGCTGACCTTGAAGTTCAAACCAATTTTGCAATCCAGTGCATTAACCCACAGTGCCATACCAACCTTCACATCTCAGTGGGGTAGAAAGCCAGGGTTTATTGTGCTTGACCCA